GGGGGGGGGGGTGGAAATCTTTCCCCTTTGATCAACTGATGTTACTTTTTCCCCTGTTTTTTCTTGCCCTGGTGTTATCCAGGTAATGCAGCATCCCTCTGTGAGGATTTTGCTGTTTAAAATGTAGGTCTTTATTGGGGCTATGTCTTCTTTCCTTGAATAAATGCCAATAAGATCAAATACTTCACAAATCATCTTGGCTGGGTGTTTTAACAAGCTCAGCAGGATCACTCCCCAAGCCTCTATCCAGGGCATGAGGGTTCCTTTGAACAGGGCATGCAAAATTACCTGTCATCTAGTTGGGTGATACAGGTGTCCTATATTTGGGACAGGACTAATGTTTTAGGCTCAATAGAGTAGGGAAAAAAAGATAGATTGTTGTGGCTGTAATTACATTTGTAGAGCAGTTCCTAGCTAGCCTGCATGTGGAATTTGTACCTTCTACAACATGTCAACATACTCAAAGCACTTCAAGGGAAAAAAAACTCCTTGACCAGGTAACATGTAAGTTATTTATGAGGAAAACTCACCCTGCCCATCCAAACTAATTTCTGGTGCCATGCTAGGGACTTCAGGTGACCCTGAAGTAGGGTGGAAGTATAGAGCTCAGACATCCTGCTCATTGCCTCTCCACTGGGGGTTGTGAGGTGGGTTTAATAACTGGGGATGTTATACAGAGACCCAGCTCATGGTGCTGATGCTGGGTGATGTGTGGATGTGTTTGTGTGTTGTGGGTTTTTTTGGTGGAATAATATTGCTTTCTCCTCTGATCTGTCTGTGCTGTTGGTCCCCAGGGAGATGGCAGAGATAGGGATGTGCTGCTGCAGTGCTCATTTGCTTTATTTGTGGGCTGTGAGCTACTTCTGGAAATCCCTTGGCCAGGAAGGCAGGCCACACCTCTGCACTGACCCACACACAGCTAAGTTGTTAATGTTTCACTAAATCCTCCTGCCTGAGTCAGGAGCTGAGGTAATACTTCCCTGCTTTTTGTCTTTGGTTCCTGTCTGTTAGCATACAGAAGCACTAAGAGTGGTGGTTTTGAGGGCAAGTATTCTCTGCTGCTCAATTAGACTTGGGGAATTGCCTGAGCTACCCAGAGCATGTGCTTGCTGAACTGTGCAGAAGGAACAGGGGCTGTTGTGCTTCCAGACTTGGGTCAGCAACTGGTAAAGGGCTGTGAGAAAGCCATTGAAAGGGACAGATGGAAGTTTTCCTTTCCCCTAAATATTCTGTTGCTTACAAATGTCTGGGACAGGCTCTTAGCCTGAAGGTTGTGGCTGTGAAAACCTTCAGTAGAATGGCAGGTGAAGGAGAGGTGTGATTTAGGGTACCCCCTTGCTGCTGCTGGAGACCAGAAAAGCTTCTTGAGAACATGTGGAAAGGTGCTGCTGGAGGAACTTGAAGTGCTTTGCAGCCTCATGGGCCCTGGCATCTGTCTGAAAAACTTCTCATTGTTATTACTGGGAGACTTGCTAGAGATTTGGGATTTGAAGAGGAATGTAAAATCACACTTTAAGCACCACTAAAATCTACACTTCAATTGCTCTTTAGAGGACAAGGGGATTTTCTGGGTCACTTTTCCAGAGTTTAAGGCATATATATATATATTTTAAAGAAACTCTTAATGCTTTTGTTGCCTATTAACTCAGCTGTTTGAAATAACAGTAAGCAGTATATGTCATACTGCTGCCTTTTTCTGTGGTGGCTCCCCTTCCCCTCAGGTTTTGGGGCACAAAACCCTCTGAATTATTTTATGAGAGGTCTCTGAAGTCTAAAGGTGAATTCATATTCTGTCTTAGCAGAAAATCACATCCTTTTTCCCCTCCACTAGGCACACATATTTGTTTGCAGCTCTTTTTCTGGGGTGGCTAAACCCTGCTTCTGTGTGGAGGGAAGGATCCTGTCTGTCACTTCTCAGTAGCTGTTCCTTGGATGTAATGGGGTAATATGCTTTACAGGCTTTCAGATTTTGTCTTATCCTGTGAATGATGCAACTGGGGACATGAGTTTCCAGCAGGTGACTTCTCATGCAGCATCTTTGGAGACCAGCTCATTGCCATGTGAGTACTGACAGGCAAAGTGACAGTCCACCTGGATGCTTTTTGTTGGTTGGTGTCATTTCTAGGCTGAATTTTGTTTTTATACAAGGTTCAAGCAAGTCACTGGGCCTGAGTCCAGCTACTGAGAGTCTGAGCTCATTCTAGGGCTCATGGTCCTGCAGCAATGTTTGGACCAAGCTTTCTGCTGTGCCAGGGATCAATCCAGGCTCCAGCTATTGCCTGTAATAACCCCTTTTGCAGAAGTGGTGTGTTTTTTGTGCCTTCTGCTCATAATTCTGGAAGGATTTTTTGTTACTGCTGCTTTCTTTTGAAAAGTGAACACCAAGAACATCACAGAGGACTTGGCATGAAGAGCTACAAGCCATAGCTGAAAAACACCCTTATATTTTATCTCCAGGCCTGTTTGCTTAGGTTTATTTTTGAAAGATAGAGAACACTTGAATTTTGTATGATCTAAAACTATTAATGGAGTTGAGTCCTCCCCAGAAATCAGTTTTGGCATCCAGCAGAGTGCTTCAAATGTGGTATTGCAGACTCTCAGTTCAGACAGTGCATTTTTTTTCCTGCACTGTCACTTTGTATAATTTCCTTAGACTTTGGCTTATTTTTGATCTGTTCAGGTGTTCTCTACTTTTCTAGGCTACATACTTGGCACTGGACTGATGCCATGCAGCACTTTACTGGTACATTTGAAATGGCTTAATGAAGAAATGTAAAAGGTAGGATAATTTTATATTGTTTTTCCATGAAGGACTTACACTTTGGCTCAATTTAAGGACTTGTTAGTGTTATTAGATGTCTAGGGCTAATGAAGCACAGGCTACAGGTCCTCTTCATTATGTACTTAGAGGATGTGGGGTGATTCCTACTGTGTAGAGCTGAATAAAATGCAGGACTTAGACTCTATTTTTTTGTGTATATTCTAGGGGGCAGTGTTTTTTTTTTTAAATACATTGGAGGGGCCCCCCTCTTTTTTGTTTTTTTTTTGTAAACTCTAGGGGAGGGGGGGACTGCAATTTTATTTTTTATGATCCTAAACATCAGGGGGGAAACCTATCTCCAACAATCAGGTTTTCACCTCTGTGGGTACCCTATTAGGTGTGCTTTTTAAATTATTTTTACTTATTTTTAAAATTAATTTGTAAAAATAAATTGCTAAGTAAAAATAATTATTTTTTTTTAACTCTTATATTGTGCTTTACTTGAACAGATTGAGCTGGTGGTTCTTTGCAGAAAGATGTAATATCTTCACCTCCATCCAGCCCATCATTCTCTACTTGAACTGTACTAAGTTAAATGACACCAAGCACTTAGAATCAAGTTATCTTTTATTTTGAAGCTTCTTCCCTTACACCTATCCTGGTGAATCACAGAAACAAAAGCAAGCATGTAACACTTACAATAAAACAAAGAATGAAAACAAGAACAGACAACATTTCTCCCTACCCCCAGAGAGCCCAACAAAACAGCTGCACA